ACCGCGTTGCCTTATGTGGCGCGGAGTGAGGAAAGACCTTCCTCCTAGAAGCCGAGGGAAAGCCCCGACGGGGAGGGCGTGAGGGCCGAGGGTCGCAGACATGGGGGAAGGAGACGAGAGCGACGAGACGGTGGTGGAAGATTCCTGGCTTGAGAGCGACCGGGAAGAAGCAGAGCTCTACAGAAATAGGTGACAGACACGCAACCAAAGAGGGCCCTCAACTACGGTTTCTGCAAAAACACTGCCCCAGAGGCTTCCTACTTTGTACGAAGAAGCCGGGCTGCACATGCTTTTTTTTTTAAAAAATGTAATCTAAACATAGACATAACAACAATCAGACAAATTTACTTAGAAGGGAACATTCCATTCAGTGGGACTTAGTCGCACATCAGTGGGTATAGGATTGCAGCCTTAAGGAGTTTGTGTGCTTAGTTTTCCCCTTTTTCTGTCATGGGGGCTCCATGGGCAGGATAGGAAGGTGCTGCCCCCCTCCCCCAACCTGGAATTCAGAACAGATCTATACTGATACGATCCACTACCTCCCTACATTGGTGTATCAGTGAGTGATCAGTTGTCACTCATTCATATATTAGTGAGTGACTATTAATAAGCAGGAAAATTATAATAGAGATTAATAATCTGGAATAAATTAGAATGCTTTTTAAATTCTGATTTTAATATTGTTATGAGTTCAATTGCTTTTCAGTGTTATCATTTATATTGTTTTAATGGTGGTTATAGTGTCATTTTGAGTGATTGTGAACTGCCATAAATCCTCTGAGGGAAAAGGCAGCTTATAAAACGAACGAACGAATGAATGAAAGGGTAAAGGAGGAATGAAAATTGGTGGAAGCTGGATCTATGATTAAGATATGCAGATGGCACCATATTGCTGACAGGAAACAAGTATGACTTAAAACAACTACTCCATGAAGAGAAAAACCATGACTATGGAATAATTAATAGTTATTATGTGCTATCAAGTTGGTTCCGGTTTATGGTGGTTTTGTAAGTATAGTATACTCGGAAATGCTTCACATTTCTCTTCTTTTGGGGTTACTCTTGGACTGTGTAGCTTGCCAACTGCCACACTGGCTGGCTGGCTTTTCTCCTGGGAGGCACAGCGGAGTTAATGACAGGATCCTGCCAGGTAGCTCAGTGGTTTAGGTTGGGAGTTCAATTCCCCACTGTGCCTTCTTGACAAGGGCTGGACTCGATGATCCATAGGGTTCCTTCCAGCTTTGCAGTTTTAATATTTCGAACATAACTTTATTGATAACACTATATGCCAGAAATTACTAACCACACTTAAAATCACATTTTTCTTTATGCACGAGAGGTAACAGGAAAGTTGTTTGTGTATGGGATGGGACCATACTAAGTCAGACTTAATGTTTTTTTAAATGATCTGATTTAACTACAAACAAGAAACAGTGTCATGGCACCTGAATGAGTAGTTTTGTTCAGCATAAACATTTGTTGGCCACAGGCAACGGTAGGAATAAAGTGCACCATAGAGCACAATTGAATATATGGTTATTCAGAAATAAGTCACACTAATGTCAATAGCATTTGCTTTCAAGTAAGTACTGTATTCATAGGTTTGCAGCTCAGCTGCACTCAACTGAACATGATTATGAGAACTCTCCAGGTTACTTGCAGTTATTTTTAAATAAATACATACTAGTAACTGCTTCAAAGTAACTAGTTAGTTAAAAAAATTAGTTGCCATTGATTTATTTTCACAGTAATTATGTGAAAGCAATTGATTGTGGATCATGAAAAGCTATGGATCCTTCTATCAGAAGTGGGTGTGCCTCAACATTTAATTGTCTTCATGCTTAACCTATACTCTGGATAAGAAGCTACTGTTAGGACAGAATATGGAGAAACATTTCCCATAGGCAGAGGTATTAGACAAGAGTGTATTTTATCTCCTTATCTGTTCACTCTGTATGAAGAATATATGGAAAGTTGGATTAGATGCCGGTAATAGGTGAAATGAACATTTGTGGAAGAAACATCAGTAATTTAACATATGCAGATGCTTGGCAGGAATCAACAATTTGAAATTACTGTGTTTCTAATGAAAGTGAAAACGAAAATTGCAAAAGCAGGATACAGTATAAAGAAAATAAATTCCCAACTACAGAAAAACTACATGACGTTAATATTGACAACAAAGAAATAGAAATTGTTTATGGTAATTTTTTTGTGTACAGTAATTTGGTTCAGTCGTCAGTCCTAATGGAGACTGCTGACAAGAAAACAGAAGAAGAAGACTTGGAAGGGCAGGAATGAAGGAATTAAATGTAAGGAAATGTCACTGGAGATCAAGACCAACATCGACCACACTCTTGTATTTCCGATCACTATGTATTGGTGGGAAAGCTGGATACTGTAGTTAAGAAAGCTGAAAGGAAAATATTGATTCCTTTGAAATGTGGTGCTAAACGAAAGCTTTGTGGAGATCACAGACCACCAGAAAGACAAACAAGTAGATCCTACATCAATTCAAGCCTGAATTCTCAGAAGAGACAAAAATGAAGAAATAGAGGTTGTCATACTTTGAGTACATCATAAGAAGAGACAATTTACTGGAAAAGGCAATAATGGTAGGGAAATTTGAACGTAGCACAAAAAGAGGAGAACCAAATACCCCGTTTCCCCAAAATAAAAGAGGCTCTTATATTAATTTTTGCTTCAAAAACACATTAGGGCTTTTTTCAGAGGATGTTTTATTTTTTTTCATGTACAACAATCTACATTTATTAAAATGCAGTCATGTCATCTTCTGGTTGCTGCACAATGGTGGAGGGCGGGATTTCACTTAATTAGGGTTTATTTTTGAGATAGGACTTATATTACAAGCATCCTGAAAAATCATACTGTACTAGGGATTATTTTCATGTTAGGTCTTATTTTCGGGGAAACAGTATGAGATGGATGCCTTGAGTTTGCAAGAGCTGAGCAGGGTAATTAATTATAGTCTATTTTGAAGGTCATTCATTCTTTGGACTGCTACGGGTTGTCGTTGGAGGCAACGTGATGATTCATAACAACAATGTATGCAATGTATATTGTTGACTGAAATTGAATTTATTCTATTATGCGTTTTTTCCATTGGAAAGTAGTAATGGAAGGAAACTCCGAAGAAATGTTGCTAAATAAAAAGCAAGCTGCAGAAGACTCAGTACATGAGATATGAGAAATTTCTTTTACAAATAATTTATTTAAAATTACAAAGAACAAAAATTGTGTGTTCCAAGTTAGAGATGGTTAACTAGCTTTTCAAAGATATGAATATTAGACAGGGAAATTTGTCATACATTCACACATTTTGGATTATCAGGCAAAAAAATAAAAAAAATAAAGAAGACAAAAATGTTGTGGTACCTTAAAGACCTTAATGTGAGCCTTTTTAGATAAGTCCACTTCAGAAAAGGAAGTGGACTTATCCACAAAAGCTCACATGAAAATATAGCAGTTAGTATTTAAGGTGCTACAAGATTTTTGTCTTCTTTATTTTTCTATTCTCTTTGCTTGATATGCTAGCACAGACTTTGTTGTTGTTGTTGTTGTTGTTGTTGTTGTTGTTGTTGTTGTTGTTTAGTTGTGTCCAAATCTTCGTGACCCCATGGACCAGAGCACGCCAGGCCCTCCTGTCTTCCACTGCCTCCTGGAGTTGGGTCAAATTCATGTTGGTCGCTTCGATGACACTGTCCAACCATCTCATCCTCTGTTGTCCCCTTCTCCTCTTGCCTTCACACTTTCCCAACATCAGAGTCTTTTCCAGGGAGTCTTCTCTTCTCATGAGATGACCAAAGTACTGGAGCCTCAGCTTCAAGTTCTGTCCTTCCGCTGAGCACTCAGGGTTGATTTCCTTTAGAATGGATAGGTTTGTTCTCCTTGCAGTCCAAGGGACTCTCAAGAGCCTCCTCGAGCACCACAATTCAAAAGCATCAATTCTTTGGCGGTCAGCTTTCTTTATGGTC